TACCAGCGCGAATAGGCACAGCAGAATTTGCCACTAGAGCAAGGGTCACGAGGTGGTTCAATCTAGATTTTTTCGAGAGAGACCCCGGCAAAATGAACGAAAACAGGCCCGACAGTGACACTGCTATATTTCACGTTGCAGAAGGCGTCGTGCCTAGCTGATGCGGACTTCTTGCGTCTCAAGGACACGCATCTCCCTGCGTCCAGCACTGAGGTTTCTGATCCGAAACCAGTCCGGCTATTGATTCAATTGTTGGATGATCGAAAAGGAGCGTCGGCGCAAATTCTGTGGCGAATCATTCGGTAAGCACGCTCGCAAACTCTGCGGCCGCGACCGAATCCATCCCAGCGGCCATTAGCGGCGAGTTCGTGGCAACGGTCGTGCCGAGCACATCGAGTAGTGACACCTAGATAGACTCGGCCACTGTCGTGGAATTCTGAATGACCGCCAGCCGTCAAGCCATGACCTTGCAACAAATCTGTTTTCTTGGAGTTTGCTCCCGTGATTTCGACTGTATGCCGTCAATATTCAAGGAACCAGTGATAGAACGGAGCGTTGGGTTTTCGAACACCAGCGTCGACGGTAGTGCCGTTTGCAGGCGCTCGTTGAGTTACGTGGAGAGCTCCGCTGCGCTGACGGAGTCGAGACCGGCTGACACGAGCGGCGCGTCAGGTGAGACAGTGGTGCCGGTGAGCTGCATCACGATGCCAACGAGCTCATCATGGAGATAATACAAGGGGGTGTTGCCATGTACTTGTGCGATTGTGTCTTGTGCTATCGAACGGGCAGCTGGCATCCTTGAGATCGCTCTCTCCGAGCTCGCAGACGGAACCAGAGAAGCAGGTGCCAATGTGAGTCAGCCACCCTGCGATGAAATCGGATTTTCATATCCATTCTTGATCAGGGCTCCCGAGTGCAGATGCGAAGACATTGATCCAAAAGTCCGACGTAGAGATATTGGCTGAGTTGTGCTCCGAGACTTACTTCATGCTGGAGTCGATATTATGAATTACAGCGTCTCCCTCGGGACGCTTAGATTGCTATCTTTTTAGCTCGCTGATGCATTTACTCCGGAATTCATGGACACTCTAAGAAGCCATTGCGAAAATGTATTGATATCTGAATTATCCATTCTTGATGTCTTTACGAGTTGGAGAATCATCCTGCCGCGTAGGTGCTGTGGCTTGGTGCACAAATCTATCCTCAAATCAGTTCTTGACGTGAACTGATCATAGGATATGGTCCCACCCTGGAGCTCTTGTGCGCGCAAAACGGATGGCCTGATGCGGCTTCTCTCTGAAACAATGTCAATAAGCATATTAACACACATGATCTGACACCTGTGCAAGTCATGACAAAGCGTAGTTGGCGATCAGGCGGCACTTAGATTGCTAGGTTTGTTAAACCACACCTAGAAATGGCAAGTTTCACAAATCTTAAGTTCAGACCATCACCATCTTGGTTGCAAGATTTGTGAATGGCGGCTCGTATCTTGATGTACAAGTCGTGACACGAAATTGCACAAGTTCAGTCACTCTGCATTCGGCGAGAAGTTTGAATTTGAATACGACATCCTCGCATTGGTAGTTATACAGCCATCCAAAATCTCTGCAGATCGCCGATAGTCGAAAGGCGTGACATCAGTGCCGGTTGGTCGTTATGTTCACGAGGAAGTGTGCTGTTAAACTGATTACGAGCACTTGGTAAAGTTGCGACCGCGAACCGCCAGAACAAAACAACAGGCCTTCCTTGCATTGTTTCTTTCCGGAAAGTTCGCCACAAGATGACTAAAAAATGTAGGTTGGCCCTCTTTTTTCGCGCTATCAATCGCGAACCCTCCAGAAATTTGACTTGTGCATCACAACACGCATCAGCCTAACCTTGGCTCTGGTAACACACACGGGCGTAATAGTTTTACTCCACTTAGCGCTTCTTTTGTCCTAACAGCCCCAAACGCCAATTCGATGTAGCCGACACCTGGAAGTAGGACACTACCTCCAACTATGTGATCGGCAAGAGTGGCTTGAGTTCAGGATGAGAGGAAGTCTTCGAAGACAAATGAGTCCGGTCTCTTGAGGGACCCCAAATCCTGTCGGGGAGTGCACAGGCCAACTGGCTGCTTTCCACAGACAATTGGCATCGAGGTACGATAAAGGGAAGGCGATGTGGTAGTATCAAGGGACGAGCCTGAACACGCTAGGGACACAAAGGCCCCATGTGCAATGGTCCCGCTGAATCCAAACGAGCTCAGACGGCCGTCGGGTGATCGCTGGTTGCCCTCTCTAGGCAATGTTTCAGGAGGCATCTCAAATCACGAGGACACAATCGAAAACAAGTGCACGTTCAACCTATCGTGTTCGGGATCCGACAATTCCAACGCCAACGGCAAGCAGACAGCTTGAGCTGCGCGTTGATAGCGACAACGGACATACTCAAGGGAACAAGCGCGAGAGACGCCAACCCAGCGGCAGCCGCCGATGGCTCCAGGTGACCCATGTTTGATTTCAAAGATGCGCATTATAAGATCTGCGAGTTCGCACGCAAAGCTCC